GGTACGGAAGTCCAGTCGAAGGAGTGAATGATCTGACCATGACAAAGGCTCAATGACTAAGTCCCCTACTTCTAGATCATTCAGCCACTGACCTGAGACAAAAATGAAGTCCAGAGTGTGTCCCCCCCATGTGAGTAGGGCCATGAACTAACTGGGTCAGGTCCATAGCCGTCATGGCTATATATAGATATATATAGATATATAGATAAACATGGAAAAATAGGCTACCGATGTGACAACATTTAGAGTAAGTCGAAAGACTTGACTGATGTTCATTTGTTTTGTATGTTATATCATTGTATTTATGTTTGTTTGTATTTTTGTTTGTATTTTTTAATTAATAAAAATTAAAAAAAAGAATCAAACAATCAAACAGTAAACAACAGCCTAATCAAGAAGACTCCCACCAGCACTTGTACAGAGCAAGCCACTTGTAGAAAAATAGAAAGCAAATCCCACTCCCTTCTAGTACTGATGACGTTACCTAGTTGGGTAATGAACCCTCTGCCGGGAAATTTTCAAGCTCAGAGAGCACGAAGAACCCATAATCTAGGAGTAAGTGTTTGAGGCAGAACTATTTTGCTTCTGATCTTTGCAATTGGAACCCCACTATTCATGATTAAGTCCCTGTGTGGAATGCTCACCCATTTGTGGCCATATCAAGTTAATATTTTTAATAAGAAAACCGATAAATAATCATATCTTGCACTTACTGTAAAACCCCCATTTATTAACAGTATACTTATAAATTTCATTTGCCCAAATGACCTATCCAAGTGCCTGATCTGGGAGCAGAGAGGGGAAATGAGGAGGCCCCATTCTTTGGCTCCATCCTGTACCCCTGTTCATACCATCAAGAAGAGAGAAAGGAGGGCCTAGAATTTAACTAAGGATCATTTGATTGCCATGTCTGTCATGAAGGAAATTATCCTTAAACTGCAGAATAGAAATAACAGGATTTGGAGAAAAACATCAAATGAAGGATTAAAATAAATAAAAGGGGAACTCAAAGGGGAAAATAGAGCAAGGAAGAGAAAGAAGGGGAGCAAGAGAGATGGATGCCTTTAATTTTTTGTTTTGACCAATATTTTGAGTGATATAAAAAAATTAACAAATATACATTTCTGTTCTGCTGAGATTGCTAAAAATGTCTCATATGCACATGTACACACACGTACACACAGAGGGAGGGAGGGAGAAGAAATTGGAGATTATAGAAAACAGATTTTTATATCTATCAAAGAGTGGTGCTAAAAAAAAAAGAAAATGGCTAAAATCCATTTTGCACCATTACAGAACAGACTAAACAGCATGGAGATAAATGGATAGATACTGTATATAACTGATAGAGGAATAGATGGATGGATGGTACACATACGATAGGAAATGTATTTAAAGATAACCAGGCACTAACAAAATTTTATGATCTGGGGACAGCAAGTCAATGACATGGTATCATAGTAAAACAGCCAAAAGTGGATGTTGTATATAAATGTAATTTCCCTTAGAATCCAGGGGAAAATGGGGCATTTCTCCTTTTATATGTGAAAGTAATAATACATTGGATACTTACTGGTTAACTCTTATGTAAAATACTGGAGAGTGCATCACTTGGAGAATATTGTCATACTTCAAATTTCTCCCAAGCTCCAATTAATTGGAATATCTTAATAGTGTTCTCAGGGAGAGTTATTCACCTGGCACAAATCTGCCCAGAAAACATTTCAGCCTCAAATTACGTTAGGAACATAAATAATGCCAAAGATAGATTTAACGGAGGTGAAGAGTGAACAGGGGAGATACAGCTGTTAAGGTAGCACTGCCATACATTTGGCTGTGAAAATGTAAGTTTTTTCTGTATCTATTTGCCGCCAGTTCTGTGGTCAGCCAGATTTTTTCACCTCAGACACAAGAGCCCTAATTCAGGAACAAAGACATCCCTGATTTGCCTGTTTGTTTGATTTGTAAGAAACCTTGGCAGGGAACAAAATACCTCAGGGTAGAACCTTCCAACAGGAATATGCCTTTTCTTATTTTGGTATGTTTAACTCTCCCTTGGAAGCTTAGTAGCTATATTTCTACACTTTATTAGGAGTGGCCATAATTGGGTACTGCCTTTCTGGACCTGGTTAGACTAAAATGGGCACTTTTTAGGACTATCCTTATGTGGATAAAACGTGGTGGCTCAGTAGCTTAAAAGATGCCAGAGAAGGTCCAGGCTGTGGCAGTTGGAGTTCTACTACCCCATGACAGAATGAGCTCCTGTCATTCACCTCAGCTCCTGCCAACCTAGCAGTTCGAAAGCATGTAAATGTGAATAGAATACCACTTAGTAGTAAGGTAACAGCATTCTGTGTTTTGCCACATGCTCTGCACTGTGGTGTGATATCCTGCTGGCCACATGACTATGGAAATATCTTCAGACAGCACAGGTTCAATGGCCTAGAAATGGATATAAGCATCACTCCCTAAAATTGGCTACAACTAATGGAATAAAACCAGCAGGGACTCCTTTACCTTTTTACCTTATGTGTTCTGCACTATTCTGGATGACCAGGGGATAGTAGTAAAGAGGTTTATGTTTCTCTCTTCTGCCATCTAGTGTTCCACCCATATATGGCAGCCCCACCTTTCCCCTAGTACAGTGATGGCTAATCTTTTCCCGACTGAGTGCCCCAAAGCACGCGTGCGTGAATGCAGGCACGCACCCTCGAACCCCCAAAATGCGAAGTGTGTCCGCTCCCCGCACATGCACCCTGCTCCCTGCGCATATGTGTGCCCCTGCATGCTCCTGGCTAGCCCACGCATGTGCACGTGCTCTACACACATGCCCCACCTGCACATGCATGCGCGTGCAGCCCAGGGGTGGGTTGCCCCTGGTTCACACCAGTTCTATAGAACCGGTAGTAAAACCGGCGGGAGGCCCCGCCCACTGACCCTGACATCATGAAAATGCTTCTGCTCTTCAACATGTGGTTTAGCGTGATGTATGAACCCAAATTTTATGATCACTCATAGAAACCACAGTGACTCTTTCACCCCTCAACTTACCAAGTATAAGAAATACAATGTATTTCATGTACCTGCCTTTTTTGCCCATGCCTAGAGTTGTCATAGTCCCTAATGTCTTAGCATTTTTTTTCCAAAATGTTCTAAGTCATTCTACTTATTCTTGCACATAATCACCTTGCATTATTCAACAGAAAACACACATGTTGCAGTACCCAGGATAGTCTGCTTACACTTCTCTTAACATGAGAGGTCAAATATTTATATACTGTGTTTCCCTGAAAATAAGATCCTGTCTTATATTTTTTTGAACCCCGAAATAAGCCCTTGGCCTTATTTTCAGGGAGGTCTTATTATTTTGGGGCACGTGGAGCAAGACGGGGATCCTCTTGCCATTTTACCTGATTTCCAGCTCTGTCTCCCTAACCCTAACCAGAGGAAATCGTGGGGACCTGCTGCGCATACATTTAAATATATTTGGGGAGGGCTTATTTTGGGGGAGCTTTTTTTAGTGCATGCGCTCAAAAGCCCGATTGGGCTTATTATCCGGGGAGGTCTTATTTTCAGGAAAACAGGTTATACATATACAAATAGAATGCCCCCTCCCACATGTTGGGGTAGACCAGGTGTCTCAGTAAACACTTTATATATATATATATATATATATATATATCCCCCCCTCTCTCTCTCCCTCCCTCCCTCCCTCCCTCTCTCTCTCTTGCTCTCTCCACACACATACAAACACACATATATACAGAGAATCATTATATCTGAAATGTAGTGCAGCAATCCCTCTAAATCACACCTCCTAAATAAATTTCCTTCTATGATGCACATCCCTGACTAAAGTCTCTTTGAAGTTTTTCCTTCACAGTTTTGTCCCTTTGGGAGAATTAAGTTGTGCATGCTGCATGGAAAGAGGGCCATCATGTGGGTAGCTACAAGCTTCTAATTGAAAAACTTGTCAGAAAGAGGAGGAAGTGGCAAGGAAAAAAAGAATTGGCAGGACCACACTCTTTTCATGCAGCTCTTGCTCCCTTATGAAAGGCAGCATTACAGACTTTCCAGAGATTTGCTAAGCAAGCCATCACTGTGCTGGCAATTAAGGCCCAAAATATTCTTTCTTTAGCAATTAGTAGTGCTGTCCTGCATGACTCTCTCTGATAATAGAAGGCAATGTAACAATGGCACTTGTCATTTTATTTAGACCTTTAACCAAGTGTGAAAAGGCAGGTCTTACTCTATCTGGGCTATAAAACTCTGGACAACCAGAGTTGCAGCAAAAACACCCACCCACAAAACCCCCTGAATGCTTTGCTGCTTCTTAGCATTCATTTTTATTTTTGCAACCCCAAGATGGCAACCCTGTTCAGAGAGTTTTCCATACAGCTTATGAGTGATGTTGATCTTCCAGGTAAGCCAGTTTCATGACATTATTCCCCCATATTACTCAGCTGAAGCTAAAAAGAGCTTTTCACTCAAGGCTCCTCTGCCGCCTCATTCACTCAGCTCAGACTTCACCTGGATTTCCAGTGTGCAGCCCATTTCACAACATTGTATATTACCTCACATTTTCATTTAGAGAGACGTAACATTTAAATCCATACTTAAATCCATCATGTTATTTATGACTGGTAGATGGAAGATTTGGGACCACATGTCCCATCTCCCCTGGTTGCACCAATAGTCAACATGCAGGCTTTAGTTTTAAAATGGCATGAGGCAGAGTTTTGCAGACCTCTTCAACCTGAGGAAATCCTTTACTTCAATAAATTAGTCCAAATAGGAGTGGTAGGATGAAGCCCTGCGGTTAGAACAGGGCCCATAAAAATGATGAACAAATTGCCTAATATAAAATGCCTACATTATGAAAACCGCTGTTATTTTGCAACGGTTAATGAGGATAATGACTAATATATTCAGAGGAGATGTGACAGCTGTCTGTATATTTTTAGGAGTATATATTTTTAGCTGCCAGTTACTCTTTATTCAAATGCATTAGCTACAGAATGCAACAGAGGCAGTACAAAGAAGTGGAAAGAGGTGAGAATTTGTACAATTTTTTGGGTCTGGTTATACCATTTTCAGCGCAATCTTTAAAAGCATCCCTAAACCATGGTTAAAGAGACAGCATGAAGAAAAATTGCTGTTGTTCATTTGAAATGGAACGTAATCTTAACTTGCATGCAAATGCTAAAAATTTAGAAAACATAGCTTGGTTTTCCATTTTCTAATCATTATTCACCGGGAAAGGCTAATCTCTGATATGCAATATATTCCAGCACTTTTCCTTTCAAATTTTAAATACGTGGAAAATAAATTCTATTCTTTCAAAGGGTAGGAGACACTCTATTAAATATTTTAAATGTTCTTCAGGTTTAGAAAGTTAAAAGAGATTTCAGCATCAAAAATCAAAGAATGTATTCTATGATATTCTGTTTTTTTTAAAAAAAAAAAAAGAATAAAACACAAAGCTCTAAATAAACCAAAAGTCCATTTTGACAGCTGCATCTGACTGAATTGACGAAGCACTATTGATGTTTGGATTAAACTATGCCTCTGTGATCAAGTACTCAAGCTAGGATAAAAAAGGAATATATGCTTTAATCCTGCCAACTAATTTAGTGGAGGATGGAAAGAGACCATTAGAAAAGCCGCTCCCTTTTCCTTATTAACAAATCTATTTTTATTTTGTTCATTCACCAAAGCTGCTCTCAAGACTTAAACATTAACATGATATTCAAAAACACACACATCTATATATACACAATTAATACACCCTAATTTGGAAAAGACAAAAAGAGGCTGTACCAGAATAAAACACCAACAGAAAGCTTTTGAATTTTGAGTAGATGCGTCAGAAAGAACCACTTAAGGCCACACGCTTGGATAGCACACCCAGCTCCTTTCCTCCCCTCTCCTTGGGACTCCACACAGAATTATTATTCACCACAACCACCACTCTGAAGTGGCTTCAAGAGGAGGAGTTTTTCATTAGCTAAATCCTTTTTTTATTACTTTTTTTTTTAAAAAAGTAGTAGACAGAGAGGATTTGGCTGGTGATACTTTACTTGACAAAGAAGGGAAAGCTACATAGTGTTCATTGAATTGTGGTCCATTTCCAGATTCCCATAAATGAGCCATGAATACTTCCGCAAAAGGCAACTGCTTTTTTTTAAAAGTAAAGAATTGCTCATTTTTGGTTTTGTTTTTATTTGTGTATATTTTTGATTTTTTAAAAAATTCTGTAGCTATCCCCATCTGCAGGAACTCTCTGTTCCCCACACCTTCCAGCTCCCTGGGTTTAAGTCTGCCAAAGGAAAAAGATGTCCAGTATGTTCTGTCCGATTGGAGTTGTTGGGCTGGTTGGTTGGTTGTTAATGCATCTGGCCAGAGGGATGTACCGAACCTTAAATAAACCTTGCTTTGTTTTCTTAATGGTTTTTGTTTGGTTGGTTGTTGTTGTTGTTGTTTCTATAGGAATGCAGCTTGGGAGGGTGGGCAATAATTTCTTATTGCAAGCCTATTACAATTGGCAAGGTTTGAAAGGTGGTCTTCAAACTGCCTTTGAGGAGTTGAAGAAGTGGCCCTATTCTACATTGTGCATCAAAGAAGATAAGGTCTCTTGCTATGTATCAAGAACTGATCTCAATAAGCAAATCTGATCTTCTTCATATGTTCTGGATTGCAATGGACAACTTTAAATATACTGAATTATATGGCTTTGTCCTGGGCCATTCCAACAGATGTTGATGGGCGTCAAATCAAAATCCCTGGAGTATATTTGTGTAGAGTAGCCCCTGATTTTGGGTTCAGATCTCATACTGCCATTTCGAGGTAAGACAGAAACAATAAAAACAAGGAACCAACAGCAGTGAATGATTAAACTGTAGTACTATTGCACAACTGTTGTTCTCCACAATCCAATAGAAACAGAAGACAAAATAGCTATGACTTCAAAGGTTTGTGAATAGTTAAGGATTCAATTGACATCAGATTGAAACCAGGATGACACTGTAGTCCCCAAGGAACCGGAATTCCATAAATGGTGGCACTGAAGCAAAAAAAACCCCAAACCTCTCTTTCACATCTCTTCATAACAGATGGCTTCTGGTGGAAGGTAGAGAGGATAGTTCCCTCACGAGATCTTTAATAGGCAAAAAATGCATGCAGGGAGAGGACCTATACCTCAGACCACTCTGGAGATTGGAGCCATGCTATTTTAGGAAGAGCTGAAGGCTACAATGAGAAAGATTGGGATACCAAATAGTAAGAGGTTTCAGGGAGATTTTAAAGCTATCTTAAAGCTTGTGCTACCACTTTTGTGTTTTACCACGTAAAATCTTGAGAAGTCATCTAGTTAAAGAAAGCTGTAAAGAAAGCCATGGGGGCTGCAGGAAGGCCCTGAATCTTCAGATTGTTCAACTCCTATGAGGGATATCAGATTACAGATTAACAGAGTTGGAAGGGACCTTGTAGGTCATCTAGTCCAACCCCTCCCCGCCCAAGCAGAAGACCCTACACCATTTCTGACAAATGGCAGTCCAATCTCTTCTTGAAAGAGAAGATTTTACAGGTCATCACATCCCCTCAACCTCAAACTTCAGGTCTGGGTATCGAAAGGCCGTACAATCCTTTGACAGTTTGTCTCCTACATTCTCATTGATATTCCCAGCAGTTGCAACCTCCTCATTCTCAGTATAACCCTGATAACCACTTAGTGACTTCTTGAGACTTTTTTTTTATTCTTCTTGATTATCGCTAGAAGCAGCTTTTCCATCTGTTTACTTATAGTGTGTTCAGCCATTTATACATTTTCTTTTTTTCTTTTTTTTTTTTAAAGACATACAATATTTCTTTTGCTGATCTGTAGAGATAACCAGTATTGTTTTCCTTCCTGTGAAAATGGATGGGAGAGGCAGGTTCCTAATTCATTCATTTGGCTTTCTGTCCTGGCACAGTTCAAATCAATGGAATTCTGGAGGGGAGCAAAAAACAAAAACGGTATCCAAGTATATACTTGCAGGAACAGGTCCAGAAACCTCCCTACTTACTTTGTTTTCCATGAACAAATGATTATAAAATAATTGAACCAGGAGTGGCTCAGCTTGGCTCGCATGCAAAATCCAAGCCATGCAAACAAAAGCCTTCATACTACAATCTGTCTGTAAAGATAGTAGCAGGAGAAAAAAGTAAGCCACGTGACCAAAAGCAAAGCAGTCACAATTTTTACAGCTGTGCAACGGACAAGGTATAAACATAATACTTTACTCCAGCAAATCCAATGGTTTTAATTCGTATGTTGCCATGGAGTATATTTTGCAAACAAACAAAGCAGGAACCAGGGAATGGACTTCAGTGACTGAGACAAAAAAAAAAAAAGAATTATTTGTTACAGTCCTGGGATATGGTGTAATTATTCTGTAAACACACTTTGATTTGTTTATCTCAGTACCAAATTAACTTCAAATATGAAACAACGGTTCCTGATTCAGTATGGTACACAATATTGGTGGTGAGCGTGTTGCATGTATATGTGTGTGCGCATGTAAGGTAACCAATGTATTATTCAGATTTCAGAAAGTGTTTCCATAGTGCACAAGAATATTAAACAGAGAAACACATATGCATCTAATTTAAAAGCACATTATTTCCAAGGGACTGTGTGGTAATCCAAAATAGTTTTGGCTCTTTTTTCCTCTACTTCTCTGCAACGGAAGGTAGAATAACTTTGAGGGCGATTAAACACCCATAATGACTTGAAATAAATTATTATACGGGTAGAGAATTTACCACTAATCCTTTATCTAGCTTTTTATCAGCATTGCTTGGAATACAAAAGAGAGAGCAGGATTCAGGTTGATTAACAGCGCTAGCAAACAACTGGGAAATCGTCGTGTCTCCACAGCCTTGAGCGTTACTATTTTCCAATGTTCTTCAGTTGTACTACAACACAGTGCTTATTGCAGAGAAAGAGGTGGTTGATTCATGTGACCTGGAGCTATGCAGTAGCTGTTTGAATGCTTACTCTTTGCTCTTCCAGATGTACAAGGAGAAGCAAGGACACGTTGCTTTAGAGAACCCTTCAAAATCCATAGAGAAGGAATGTCTCAGCCCAACAAGGGTAAAATTAAGATTAATAATCCAATAACATAATCTGTAGGTCTAAAGCTACTTTTATTGGAACAATATTACCCTGTTTTCCCCAAAATAAGACAACCCCTGATAATAAATTCAATTGGGCTTTTGAGCATATGGCAATAAGGCCAAGCGCTTATTTCAGGGTTCAAAACAATATAAGACAGGGTCTTATTTTCAGGGAAACATGGTAATAACAAAATCTTACAATTCTGAGTATGCTTCACGCACACTTTATCTTTGTGTGAAGTTTGCAGGAATTTTGTCTGAGACATTGTCTCGAGTTATTTTCTTAGGCCTAGCTCAAGCCCCCCTTATCTGAATGTTGTCTTGCTAGTGATTCTTCCTCCTGTCCTTCAAAACTCTTCCTTATGCTCTCTACAGAATGTGAGGGGAGGAGGTTGTTCTCCTCATTATATGTACTTTAACTGGATCAACTGTGGGTTCCCATTCTCTAGCAAAGTTCTAATAATGTAGAACCCGTGCATGAATGTAAATGGCAGAGAGTCTGGAGCAGTGGTGAAATCCAAATTTTTTTACTACTGGTTCTGTGGGCGTGGCTTGGTGGGCATGGTGTGGCTTGATGGGCGTGGCTTGGTGGGCATGGCAGGGGAAGGATACTGCAAAATCTCCATTCCCACCCCGCTCCTGGGGAGGATTTGCAAAATCTCCATTCCCATCCCACTCTGGGGCCAGCCAGTGGGGATATTTGCTGGTTCTCCGAACTACTCAAAATTTTCGCTACCGGTTCCCCAGAACCTGTCAGAACCTGCTGGATTTCACCCCTGAAAGTCAGGGACACAGCTTGTTTCCTCTATAGGAAGGAAATCCTTATATCAAGTCCTCATCTTTAGCTATTGGCTGAATCAAACCACTGGTCTATACAGTCATCCCCAACATGGCACTTGACAGCTGTTTTGAAACTGCAATAACCTAAATTCCAGCCAGATATATTTTGGGGAATGGTTGTTGTAAATTTTTCAGGACCATCATAACTTTTCATAGTTGCTGAATGAACAGTCAGCCAGTGAACACTATCCGTAATGCATTTCGACAGGGAATAAACTGGGCCTCTTTACCCTTACTCCCCAGACCTATGGTAGGAAATGAGGAAAAGGAGAGAATATGCTAAGGCTTGAAGAAAGAAGGGAGAAAAAGAAGGGAGGCTCTGTGGGCCTCGTTCCCACAGTGGATGCAATAAAACAGGTGAGAAAACCTTCACCCCTGCACTTATAATCAGAAACACATGGATGTTGATTGCATGCATGTCATTGGCAGCAAAGCAGTGATGAAGCGTGTTAAATTCTGGAATAAACAACTTCTTTGGCATCTTGGTGTGCGTGCGTATGTTTGTTTGGTCATTTGCTTGTTTATAAAACAAATGTATATAGCTGTCCAATTCACACATAGATAACGCTGGGTGGTTTACAAAATTTGTATGTGTGTGTATGTGTAGTCATAGACATGTGTATGTCCTGTACCTCTGCTTCAGGATGAAAGAGCATGAATCTCCTTCATTTGTTTTTTGCTTTGAAGAGGGAAATTGACTCTTCACCCCATCCCGAACCCACTCCCGTACATATAGCCTGCAGATTGCAAACTACAGCAGGGGGATTTACAATCCTAACAACCTGCAAGCTTGTGGGTGACAAAGGGTAACAAAGATTTCATTCATTCATTCAATTTGGGTAGTTGCCCATCTCAGCAAGTGACTCTGGGCAGCGAACAAAATTAAAATTAAATTAAATTAAATTAAATTGTATTTAAATATATTTAAATAGAATTAAATTAAAATGCAAAGTAACCAAGAAAATATCATACTGTATAATCTCTAAATAGATGATTGTACTTTGCATGAAAGAGCAAATTATAATTGCTGTAAAACCAGGAAAGCCAGAAGGAAATACAATCTATGTAAAGGGAAGAGCAAGTTGCTTTAAATGTTTAGATCTAATACTGCAAATATTAATATATTAATACTGCAAAAAGCCAATTGCTGACACATAACTTTGATATGCCAAGGTTAAAAAGTGGATTTAATGGAGCTTCCTAAAAAAAAATTGCAACATAGTGAAGTTATTTTTCCTTAAATATCAAAGGTCAGAGAGGGATATTTGCCTTTGGCAGCCCAGCGTCACCTTTGGTGAAATGACCGGCTATATAAATTTGATTAATTAATAAATATTTACAACATTTTTTTTTCTTTTTATCTACCTCCAATATGTTAGGATCCAAGGCATTCAAATTATTTATTGACAGAAGAAGCAGAATGGCGAACACTAAACTTCTTGTTGCTTTCTGGACATTCTTTGAGCAGGCACTGAGTAAATCAGTCCACTTATTGGAAAGGAAAGTAAGTCCCTAGAAAGAAATGGCATCAGATTGCCCACAGCCTTGCTGGCAAGGTGAGGACAAATTACTGTGTTGAGATTCTTTAAAAAACCCCAGTGAAACAGACAAGGATTCCTATTTCTGCACCTTCAATACTGTTAATTTGTAACTGACAGGATCTGACAAGCATCCCACTGGAAAAAATTACCTCCACTTGTGCACTTCACCTCCCATGAGAGTATCAAGGTAAAATGGCACTCAGATCTTTATGCCTGAAGGTACAATCAGATGAAGTGGATTCATTCAAGAGACATCATGGGGAAGAAATCAACACTTTGCCCCATTAGCCTTAGGTCATTATATGGCATGGAATTCACTGAATTCCCCAATAGTCTTGATCAAGCAAAGTTGAACAAGTCTACAGTTGAGCAACCTTGTTCCTTGAAATTCTTTCTGGACAGAGTTTTTTGTTACATGAACTGAAATCAGTGAAATTTGGTAACAGAAATACATGAAGATGCTGAGGGTTTTTTTTTTCCCAAGAACTTCCACAATTCATTTCTACTGAATAAAAGAACAGGGGAAAAGATGTCTCATAAACATGAAAAGTTAAACACTACAGCATTACAGAAAGCATTTTCTCATATGGGACCTGAGCTATGATCATCGGTTACACATTTACATTCTAGGGCAGGGGTCACCAACCTTTCGGACCTCAGGGACCACTAAATTCATAATTTTAAATCCCGCAGACCAGTGGTGGGTTTCAGATCTTTTTACTACCGGTTCTGTGGGTGTGGCTTGGTGGGTGTGGCATGGCTTGGTGTGCGTGGCAGGGGAAGAATACTGTAAAATCTCCATTCCCACCACACTCCAGGGGGAGGATAATGCAAAATCCCATTTCCTTCCGATCAGCTGGGATTTGGGAGGCAGAGAATAGATGGGGCGGGGCCAGTCAGAATTTTTACTACCGGTTCTCCGAACTACTCAAAATTTCCGCTACTTGTTCTCCAGAACTGGTCAGAACCTGCTGAAATCCACTTCTGCCGCGGACCACTAATGTGATCTGCCTAATGACTGGCTGGGTGGGAGTGGCTAGGTGATCATGTGACTGGGTGGGCATGGCCACCTCAATGTCATGTCGAGAGGTGCCTCGCCAGCCTCTAGTCACCCATCCCCTCCCAGCCACTCTTCACCTCCCCACCCAGGCTTCTTAGAGCCCCAACAGGAAGCAGTTGAAGCTAAGCAGCCACCACAAGAAAACAGCTCAGTTCAAATTGGATCTGACCGAGAAGGAGGCTCAGTAGAAGCAACTCACTGAGGACTACGAGCATAGGCTTTCCAAGCAGAGGAAAAACCTGTGGGAGTGCAAGGCCGGGTACCCGCACCTGGGGGCTCAGCGGGCTAAGATGGTCAGCCAGTTCCAGGCCATGATGCAGTCCCACTGGAACAAGACCCTCCGGCTCTTTGCCACCAGCGTCACTTCCCTCCAGCCTTTGGCCAAAGCTTTGCACCAGGAGGCCAAAGCAGACCCCAAGTTGGAATTTCTGTCCCCCTCCAACCCTCACAAAAAGACCCCAAAGGGGGAGACTCTCTGCAGCAACACAAACATTCATTGCATGTATCTGTTTCAGGAGCCATAGTTTGAGGACCCCTGATTTAGTGCAATATAAAAAGTGCAAATAATTTTTCTGCGGATCACCAGTGGTCCACGGACCACCAGTTGGTGACCGCTGTTCTAGGGACATCCTTTAAAAAAAGTCCTGGTTTTGTCAAAGATATGGTCTACCCGCCCTATTTCAGATTTGATTCATATATTCTGGAGCAGCCAGATGGCCACTTGCTCTGGTTGGATTTATGACTTCTGGCACCATTTTCAGACCAGACTTCGTACATGGAATGGGTGGCTTATATGGTTATTATAAAGCAGGTAAATATGTCAACCCTTTTAGGTACTGTAGCCCAGACAGAAAATCAAAACCATGAATACTACTTATACATTTCTTGTAAGATTACAGCAATAGAATCTTGCAAGTCTGAAATCACCTCCACACTCCTCTATCTTTACTTTCAAAAGAACTAGGTAAATATAGAAAGAATAGTGTATTATCAAGTAATTTTTATTTCCATTCTTAGACGGGAAATATTAATGTTGAGAACAACAGCTAATATTCATATTTTTCTTAGGAGCTATTAATGTGCTACATATCTCCCCCATGCTGTCTAGGGTGGTGAGAATAAGAGACTGACATTATTTTGACCCAGCTCCCCAAACACGACAAACCCTCTGTAATTAAATCAATGATTCCTTTATTAGGAGCACCAGCAGCACCAGCAAAAAGTCTCTTGCTCACAGCAGGCTAACAAGTTTGTCCGGCAGGGAGATGAATAGTTGTCTGCACATCTATTCATCTCCAGCCCCCGGCCTTTTATCCCCAGAGCTAGGGTGGTGCTTCGCTAGCAGTGTTGGCTTTTCCATCCCAAGGATCAGCCCACAGATTTCCACTGCTCTCCTTTCCACTGCCTTCTGCGCATCTGCGTATCAGGCACTGGACCCAGCTATTCCTCCTCTTCCTCATCAGCCACCTCCAGACCTGGGGGCTGTTGACTCTCCATCTAAGGGCTGATGGATGGCCCAGGCTCTGCCCCTACCCTCTCTTTGACAGCTCCACTCCCTCTTCCCCTTCAGAGCTCTCTGGTTGTCTTGATGCTGACCCTGACTTCCACGCCTACCCCTCATTTGATTCGGCTGCTGGAGGGGCCGGCAGCTGACAGGCCACAACAGACACATTTGAAAGACTTCTAATGAGTGCTCTAGAAAACACTCTAACACAAAAAGAGGGGTGGAGGCAGTGGTGGGTTGCTACCGGTTCAGTCTGGATCTTGCGAACCAGTAGTAACAGCGGCGGGAAGCTCCGCCCACCCGCCCGGACATCATCACGGACACTCTATGCAGAAGCACCACACGTGAGCAAAGAAAGCGTGCGCACATGCTCTCGTTGGCAACCGGTAGCAAAGTTTTAAGTGGAACCCACCACTGGGTGGAGGGGTTGGTATTAATACTTCTATCAGCCTGCTCTGATACCATTTTGCAGCATCTGCAAGATAGATAAAAGATGTCAGGATTGATGATTGTAGCACCACATAAGCAGGAAGCCACAATCCCTATCCTGACTTTTTTTCCCCACCATTACCTCTGGTTTTTTTTGTTTTGTTTTGTGCGTGCTTTTATTTGTTTTTTGAATGAGCTCTTGTTAACTTTTCATTCATTCTTTTTTTCCTTTTGAAGGAGCTCCTTTTGAATTTCCTGGCGTTTTCTACAAAACCTGTAGATGTATGAGACTATTAGTTACTGCAAGCCTTGGCACTATTAATTTGATCCTGAGAATGCACCTATATTATTAAAGGTTGCAGAAAAATGTATTAGGCATGATTTTTCCTGTCCGTGAAATGGCAGAGAAAGCAATCAGTGTCTTCCCATAAGTTCATGCATGCATAACCCGACATGGTTAATGATTAGGGATAATGGGAGCCAACACTCCAAAATATCTCCAACTCTAAAACACATTGCATTATCATATCCTAAAATTATAGGAACTCATTCAGTAAGTAGCTTGTAAGCCTCTCAGTCCTGCTCCTGTTCAGAAGCCACTACTGTGCAATTCCCCACAATCTGCTTTGCAATATTCCTTGCAGACACCTGGTCATTTGCATTCTTTTAAAGAGTTGTTGAGGCCACTTGGAGGTTTATCTGTGTCCTCAGGGTCACCTGAGTAGTGTAAATGAGCATGGAACCTTCTTGGCTGCAGGATGTTTTCTGCCCTGTATCCCTTCACTGTTGAAGACAGGCGCATGGCAGAAAACATCCTACATCCAAGAAAGCTCCACACCCATTTGCACTACTCAGGTGACCCTGAGGACACAGATAAATCTCCAGGTGGCCTCAACAACTCTCTAAAAGAATGCAAATGACCAGCTATCTGCAAGGAATATAAATCCTTCCATTCGTCACCATTCAGTCAGAGCTGAAGAAGCTTCTTGGATGAGAAGTGAAACCTCTTCAAAGAAAAGAACATGAAAGTCCAGTTGTCTCCTTGAAAAAGCACCTTTGGGTTTAGCATGTGATGTTGCTTCGGGATTCTTTGTAGTTTGCCCGAGTTTATTTCTGCATTTGGTACTTATAACCAGCATTTATAACCCAAGCAATATGTCTCTTATTGCAAGCATAAGTCTTTGTAACAGTATAACCCATGGAAGGCCATCTTAAACCTATAAAAATATAAAGAATCTGATCATGTTTCCCTAGAAGGCAATGATAAAAACCCTGTAAACCTAATCAAACCCTAACATTTCGGGCCTTTAAGGGAAAGCTGTGTAGAGAGAGGAAACATTCCGCTCCTGTGATTCATTGGCTTTAGCAATACATAACCTTTTATGAAACAGAGAACCACTTTCCCTAAGCAATTACAATTCCAAAAGGGCTTTGCATCCTGCAGCCACACAATAGAGAGGAGCTGGGGTTTCTGAGCAGCTGCTCAGTGCTGAAACATTAGCAATTATTTAAACTTGATAACAGAATAAGTCAAACAGCTCAGCATGTGCTTTCTCTCTTGCCTCCTTTGTATTTTGAAAAGCTCCTGAAAGGCTCTTTGACAGCCAAGGAAGAAAGCAAGTATTGCTAAGCTGGTGGGGAAATAGCATCTTTTAACACGGGAGGGAAGAGTTCACAATCTAAAAATTCAGTCTGCTTTTTCCCCTCCGTGTTAAGGAAGGAATAATCCAATTCAAAAATGTTTAAACATTGTGTGGAAAAAAAAATTAACACCCTTCCACTTTTACTATCTCTTCTTAAAGAGCCGAGGTGGCACTGTGGTTAGAGTGCAGCACTGCAGGCTACTTCACCCGAACTGCTAGCTGCAGTTCAGCTGATCAAATCTCACCAGCTCAAGGCTGATTCAGCCTTTCATCCTTCCAAGGTGGGTAAAATGAGGATCCAGAATGTTGGGAGCAATATGCTAACTCTGTAAACCGTTTAGAGAGGGCTGTAAAGCACTGTGAAGCAGTATATAAGTCTAAGTGCTATTGCTATTAAACAAAAGGCTTTATATATATATATTTTCCTTCCTATTAGGCATGGCTATATTAGTATCTATATCACCCAACAATCTTTTTGAATGCAAAGCTACTCTCTTTTTGTTCTTTAGAATTATCTTTTCCTTATCAACTTTTTAAAAAATAAACATTACCACCATCATTTGTATGCAGTTTTCTGTTGTTTTCCTTCTTTTCCAACACAGGGTGAATTTTTTTTTGTTTGTTTTTGTTTTGTGGATGTTGCAGACCAGGGTTTTTCAAACTTGGCAGTTTTAAGATATAAACTCCCAAGACAGCATACTAAGTTTGCTCCCAATAGAACTCAAAACTATTCCCAACAGAAACTACAATGAAAACTTTTTAGCTTTCTCTCCAGTGATGATTTGTTGATTGCTGGAATTTATGCAAAATAAGCAAACCTAAGAGGATTTTAAATTGATCCAGCAAATGACTTTGTTGTATATATTTTTTGACCGTTCTTATGGCTTTTATT